TTTTAAAAATAAAAGAACCCATTAAGTCCAGCTAGTGCCACTCATATGTGCATGGTTGCAGGGCCACCCACCGGAGCATGGAGCATGGGACACCTACCAGCAGCCACATGTCCTGAAAAGAATGGTTCCCCTCCCAGCAGCTATCATCTATTAATGGCTCTGCAGTTTGGGCTGGGGCCCTGAGCTCCTCCCCATCCATGCTGGAGTTTTGGCTAACATAATTTTTTTTTGCAGGTAACCACAGCCATTGTGAGTTAATGAGTGCAATATCAATTTCCTGCCCAGAAGACAGAATTTCACAACACTCCTACCTATCTTGGCTTTTACTTTCTATTTCCTCTTGTTTGAAGTTCCTTGAGCCTTGGTGAGGAGTGCAGAATGATGTGTCATTTAGGGATGAACACTCGTAGTCATTTAGTCTTAGCACTTCGACCAGTTATGAACCTCTGCACTGACTGCTGCTACTCTGTAGAGGTGTTTCTCTGACCACAGCTGAGAGCACTCTAGGTCTATGGAAATAAGCATCACTATTTAGAAAGCTGTTTGACACCAAGACCATCTAGCAAAATGACACAATAGATTCCACACTAGGGCCTGCGATCTCCAGAGGCATAAGCTTTTGACTAGTACAGGGATGAATTTATAGAAGCAGGCAGGAATTCCCACCTATGGAACAGAGCTCAAATCCTCCGGTCCATATTTTGAATGAGGGGATTACTGAGACATCTGTGTTATCCATCGGGGCTTTATGGAGAGAGCAGGATCCCAAGGCCACTGGCTTGATGACTCCTAGGTGTCTTGGCAAAGGATGGAACCTGGTGGTTGAGGTCAAATAAGGCAACTCAGGCTATAGTCAGGATCAAGCACATCTGGCTCTTTGGGTTCTACTGTGAAATGTGAACTAGGAGCAGTCATGGAACTCTGTCCTGCCTTTTGTGGACCAGACTCAAGTAGATGAAAAATATAAGTTACTGTTCTAAGAACCCTCTGAGTGATGGAGAGCAGGGTGGCTGCTCCTGTGTGGTCTGCAAGGTATACCCCAGGGGCAGCCTAGAGTTCGATGGTCAGAAGTATTTGCTATTTCTGTTGTATTTGCAGTTAATGGGCTCTGAACTAACTGCAGAGGTTAATCATCTTAATAATCCTTGTATGTCCAGAGGAGAGCTTCCTGGTGGTCTTGAAGCACTGTGTATGAAATCATCTGGTGGCATTTGAAGACCATTCACACCATCACAAGGAAAGTGTTCATTTCTTCACTACTTTCTCCAGTGAAGGAGAGAGAGCTGGATCTTCTCTAAGTTTCATTGCAGATAATGCATTTTTTATTTTAGCATTTTAGGATCACCTACCCATAGAAAGACAATTTTTAGTTGTTGCTATTCCAAGAACTTAAAAAAAAAACTTAATTAAAAATTATCAATCAGGAATTGTGTGTGGCCAATTCAAGCATAAAATTCACCATCAAGGAAAAATTTTTATCAGAAGCAAGTTCAAGTTGCCTATTAGAATTTTTAATGGGATTTTGTTTAGACGTTTCCCATGGGTTTAACATTTAATGTTTTCCACAGTAAAATTCATCTCTTCTCATAATTAAGTTTTACAAAGAAAATTTAGTGAGCTTTTCTCTACTAATAATGTTACTAAAGCAACTACTATATCTATTTTTCTACCACAATAAAAACGTTTTTACACAATACTATACAATGCCAGAATGATTTCTTTGTCATTTTCTATTGTGGGGATAATAAGGACCCTTGTAATAGGTGATTTGCAGGTTATTTTAACAGAAAAGTCTTATCGACTTACACAACAATCTGAAGAGTAAAGAGGGTTGCTGTCTTTCTCTGTAAAGAGGGAAGGAGAGAACCACAAGGTGGAGTTTTTTCAGCCTTCATGGAAAATATAAATAACCCATCTCTTGCTTTCTGTACTTATACTTTACCCAATAGCCACAATTACTCAGAAAGAGCAATAATTCTCCTTTTATCCGAATGAGAAAACTCAGATGATGTTGGCTGCTATAAATATATCACTTGTATTAGTTTTCTCCTTGTTTAAGACAAAATACTTTTCAAAATAATCCGAGGAAGGAAGAATTTATTTTGGCTTACAGTTAAAGAATGTGCAAGGCATGGCATTGAGAATGGGAAGCAGCTGGCCACACTATGTCCACAGTCAGGAAGCAGAGAAAGATGAATGTGGGTACCCAATTCCTTTCCCCCTTTGCCTGTATTACTCAGCCTAGGATCCCAGTTCCTGTACAATCGGGATGGGTTTTTCTCTCTCCATTAAAAATCTTTGTAAATACCCTCACAGGCATGCCAAACGGTGTGTCTCCAAGTTGATAATGAAGATTAACTGCTACAAAGACCACACTTATTAGTTGTTGAATTATATAATCCTGGAAACCCCAGTAAGTACATAATATATTACTAAGATTGTGGGAGAGGGAATGGGAAAATTATTCTTACATGGGTGGGGGCATTTGACTGGTAGGAACAGCACTTCACTAAGTCTCAAGAAAGTATGTGACCTGAGAAAGCATGAACTGATATTGAGAAAAATCAAGGAAGCATATGCATCATCCATAATTTTCAGGTCATGTGAGTCTTGGGATAAAAGAGCGACTGCAATAGCCAATTACAATCCTAGTCTACTTTTATTATTGAAGGATGGCTTTCTTGGAGGCTCCACATTAAACCATCAGAGAATAGATCTCATTAATACATTTGTTAGTTAAATGTTTATTGAGATCATATTGGAAAAAAATAGACCTTATTCCTAGGCTCTTAGTTACATAAACAAGGCAGAGAAAGTAATTCTTGAGCTTTTCTAAGATGCTTTTAAGGCAGGATAAAGGGAAGCAGATGTTCAGACAGGTCATGTGGAGATTGGAGTAAGAGTAGTTAAGAGACCTCTCATTTTTGTGTGAGGTGGCACCTAAGGAATGAGGTGGGGTTCTTCTAGAAGATGAAGTATGTCAAAGACTGAGAAAGTGGGTTGTTTCTTTGGTCAGAAGGAAGAGCAGACACACATCACAGAACTGAAGACCATGGTGCATTTGGGGAAACTACAAGAGTTTGTTTAGAAATGAAGCTGGGAGGGTGCTAGGCTTCCTTTCAGACAGAAAGAAGAATTTACTTGTCACAGTGACCTGCTGACCTTACTCTGAGAAATGTGTTCAGGAAGGCTCAGGGACGCAATCAGAATAAAATGAAGACCATAGTTGTGGGCTCCTGGCAGAGACGAATTTCTTCACTTTCTCTCTGCTTCATTTTGCAGAAGGATTACAGGCTCTCCAGGCTGATTCATAAATACATAGAATGAGAGAGTTGATCCGGTCATAAAACGGAGTGTTTTAGATCAGGGAGAGAGACTGCTTGTCCCTAGAAAATCAGTCAAGTGGCAAATCTAGCACAGTGGGTACTTGAATCAGCCAAAGCAGATCTGGTCTCAGTGCCCCTTTGCTCCGTAGAGCAGTATCTAGAGCAATAATCATGAAACGGAATAGCATGTTCCGTGGGTGAACTGAAATGTGAACTCGCCAAATAAAAATACTCCACTTTACAGTCCACAGTGTTCATTGTTTGAAACTCTGAACAAAAATAGTCATATACACTGCCGCAGGGAAATCTATCAGAAAGAACACCCTCAAAAAGGAATGATTCTCCCTCTCCACTGTGGTTATCAGCTGCCAATAGATGCCCGGTGAGGGATGGCACCTGGACAGCACCTCCTCTGTGTTGCCTGGCTTTATCTTGTGCTGGTCTTGTAAGGTAACCACAGCTGCTGTTAGTTCATGAGTACAATGCTAGGTGATGTTCTGAAGACAGCATTTCACAACCTTCCTCCCCATCCTCATGCTCTTATACTCTTTTTACATCCTTTTTCTTGATGTTCCTTGAACTTTGGTGGTAGGCTAGTGTTGTTGATGATGATGTCTCATTTCGGATATCTATGCACATTGGACTTATTGGGTTATAAAAAGAAGGGCATGAAGTTGGGAGGGATCCATGTTGGGGGAGTTAAAGGAGGGAAATGGAGGGTGGGTATGATCATATTTCACTAAATATGTGCATGAAGTCCTCAAGAGTAAAGGAAAATTATAATAAAAATAAATAATTCAACTAAATAAAAGTAAATACTCATACTTCCTGGTCACCTAGGGTGACATATTGAAGTAACTCAAGTGCTATCTTTGCCAGAAATGTGATATCATTGTTTTTTGGATTTTTTTATCGATTGGTTGAATGTAGGACTGTGTACTACCACAGAGGGTGGGAAAAAAAACCTCCAGCTGCATTCAAGGTAAGTTTGAATGGTTCCCAGTGATTATAAACTTATTGTCAGAATCGCTGTGTGCAGCTAGATCTACCTACATCAGGCATCTATTTTAAAACTGAGATATCTCCAAATTACTTCTTATTTTATTAATAGACAAAAGGAATACACAAATTTGAAGCCCATGTACACATTAATAAAATCCAATGATAGTCAAATCAATTATTGAGAACTTGAAGTGCTAAATTTAGGGAATGATGTATTAGTTCATTGACATAATTCACAATTGTTGGTGTATGTTGACAATAAATACAGGCTGACATTTGGCCAGGTGTGTTATTGTTTTGAAATTTTCCATGACAATGTGCTTCCCTACAGCACATAACAAGGGATGCCAATAATGCTCTAGCATTGCTCACCAGTACTGCTCCAGGTGTCACAAGATTTAAAAATGTTTTCTTTGAAAAATTTGTTGGCATGTACAACTCAATATGATCATTATATACCCCTCATTTCCCTCTGTAACTTCCTCCTTATACTTCCCCACACTCCCCCTCATAAATCCATATCTTTAAAATATAATTCACTAAGTTCAGTTTGTGATGCCTGGTACATAGATATGGAGCAATTACTGTAGCATGGGAAACCACTCAGTGACTACTCCCTAAAAATAAAATGATTCTTCTTCTTTCTGTGATTATCCACTGCCAATAGCTCCTCAGTCAAGGGTGGGGCCTGCAGATCATCCCCCTTATCTATGCCAGAGTTTTAGATGGCTTGATCTTGTGCATGCAACCATGACTGCTGCCAGTTCCTGAGTGTGACAGACTGTCATGTCCAGAAGACAGCACCTCATAACACTCCTCCCTATCTATCAGCTCTTTCATTCTTTCTGCCTCTACTTCCAGGCTTTTCTCTGCACCTTGGTGGTGGCTCTGTTTAGATGTTGTGTTTAAGGCTGAGTACCCAGTCTTTCATTCTCAGCACCTGATGAGTTATGCATCTCTGCAATGACTGCCATCCACCACAAAAAGATATTTCTCTGATCAAGGTTGAGAGAAGCCCAGGTCTATGGGCAGAAACACAAATATTTGGAAGGCGATTTGCCACAGACCTTCGTGCATGGATTTATGAGCTAAACAAGTAAGTTCAAATCACATCTTTTAGCTTTCATAACTACTCCACCTTTGGCAAGTTCTTTGCTTCTACAATTTATACTCAATAAATATAGTTACAATAGTAACTTCATCGTAAGATTATAGTGGAGGCTGAATTAGTTGGTATGGATGGTGTTCAAGTGAATTCTTCATCAGCTTTTCAATAATCAGGTCTAAGAGGTTGAAATGGAACACAATGAGAGAATGAAGTGTAGCAGATAAAAGGGATAGAGTTCAGGCTTATCCTATATTAGTGCAGTCTTTTTCTGGTCTCTAAATAACGGATTATTATCATTATAAAGACAAGTGGAATGACTGTTTTTAACAGGCCAGATGACTCAGAACCTTGAAGTCTGAACACAGTGTCTTAGTGAAATTGTTTTGTGCAATGGTTATACTATTAAAATATGACCCACCACATTCTCTATTCTTCTTATTGACTATGAGCTCTAAAAGGAAGTCACAAATGTAATTTTAATTTATAGTAGCCATATTTTAAAATGAAAATGATTTATGTGAAATAAATTTTAGTAACATATTAGCACAGAACAGTAAAAAAAGTATTAACACTATAATTAATATAAAATTTGTAATTTAAATCATGCCTAGTGGGGCAGGTCTGAAATACTAGCTACTCTGAAAGGTGAAACTGGAGATGTACAAATTCAAAACTGACCTAGGAAACTGATTAAGAACACTTCTTAGAATAAAAAAAATATGAATAAAGGGGACAAGACATAGAGCTCAGTGGTAGAGGGCTTGCCTACTGTGCTCAAGGATTTGGTTCAATCCTCAGTAACATACACACACACACACACACACACACACACACACACACACACACACACACAGTCGTAATTAGAAATGACTTTCTCTGGCATTTATTGCACATTGTACCCTGGGGTCAGTCTCAAGTAACCATGTCACAATTGCTCAACAGGCATAGGCTCACCAGATCGATGCCCCCAAAGGCGGCATACACTGAAAATGTAAAGCAACTTCAGCATTCTTTGGTGGTGCCACGTGCTACATTTATATCATGTTCAGTTGAGTGAACATCCTGAGACAGTAGGATGTCATAGAGATGTTATGAACCTTGACATTTGCTATAACATAGGTGTATGCCAATCCAATGATGTCGCAGTGTCATTTTAAATGTACACTTTTGAGTTTTGTACTGAGTAAAAAATGGAAATATACCATTTCCCGCCCCCCTGGCAAATAGCTATGTTTTTTTTTTTTTGGATTGCATTTTAAGATGAACAACTATCCCAGTTCATCACACTATTTTTTTCTGTCACATAGACCATTATACTGTAATAATTTTGTTTAGCAACACTGTTGGTTTCTTTATGAGTCTTGGCACTTGTTTTATTGTCCCAATTATTTTTTCATAATGACTTCTGTCAGTTATTTTTTACTGTCTACTAAAATTTTGAGGAGGATAAATAATACATGAAGGAATGAGGGAACAAAACATTCTAAAAGGCACTCCTGCTACTCACTTCTGGTAAAACATTGGACTGCATAAAACACAAGCCGATGTGACACATGACTTAGTTGAATTCTTATAAGAGTAATTAAACCTCAAACTGTAGATTCAGAGATTGTCTGAGACCGGCCAGTCTGAGGGATGACCAGTCTGAATTTCATGGTTGGTGGAGCCTCAGAGCAGTTTATTGACTTTCTTAAAGGCTTTGAGATGGTTGATGGAAGGGATTCTGCAGAACAGCCTTCCTCTCAGCATATGAACTACTTCTACCTCCATTTCAGTACAATTCTCAATAGCTAATCTTCAAGGAGTCAGCTCACTTTAAAGGGTGACAAAAATAGGGTAATTTAACCTTGACCTTTGCTGGAGTATGAGGAGGAAGTAGCACATTTGATGAGTAAACTTTGCTGGATCAGAATGATTTTACTCTGTGAAGCAGTCTAGATTTTCAGTTCTTGATAATAGAGTCATTATTTTTTCAAGATAGCACTCCCTTGGAAGTTTAGACCATGAATGTTGGATTTTATCAAGCGTACTTGATAAAATCACTACCATGTTAATTGCTGAAAAGAGTTAATAAAATCTGGCATTGGTTTTGGAGAGTATGCAGACTTTTACATCCACTAGAGGGAAATTGGCTGTAGACTTTTAAAGAGCATTTTGATAACATAAATCAAAAGCTTTCAAAATGTGTGTAGCCATCGGACCAAAGCTATAGTGTCTAGCTGATTCTTCCTGGTCAGCTTAGGTACTCTGTGTATTTACATTGCATGAAGTGCTTCCCATGGTACTGGAAGGTGAACACCAGGATAAAATCAAATCTCCTGCATACTATGTGAGTGCTTTAACACTCACCTACTTCTCTAGTCCTGTCACCATGTCTGATCCTTCTCAAGACCAGGGATCTAGATATATCCAGATGCTTCCCATTTTATACATTAAGGACCTAAGAGCTGAGCAAATTTAAACAACTAGGTTGTATCTGTACAACTGATAAGCAGAGGAGTGTTGTTTTTTAATGATTTGTCTTCAAATCCAGAAATGTGAACATTATGGTGAATGTTCTACAATATTTTATACATATTTCATGTTAAGGGAGAAATGATATAATTATATTACAATTTCAAAAATAGTAAAAAAAGAATTCAATTAAAATGCAGAATACCCAGTTAAGTTTGAATTTGGTATAAATGAAGAGTAATTTTCACTTCATGTTTCCAAAGATTGCAAGGAATTCTATGCAGTATAAGATGAATATCCATTTTTAAATCTTATTTGTTTACCTAAAATTGAAATTTAATGAGGTACCTAATATTTTTATTTGCTAATTGCTGTGAGCATCAGAGTCCCAGGCCTTAAGATATTTCAGAAGAATAGCAAGAACAGTATGTCAGAGGATTCTGTTCAGTCACAATTTTGATCCAGCAGAGGACAACAACAGTTACCAAAGGTTGTAGCAGACACATTTCATAGACCACTCACCTAAGCCAGAACCTTCATCTAGGGCAGTTGTTCTCAACCTTCCTAATGTTGCAACCCTTTTATATGAGTCTTCATGTTGTGGTGACCACCAACCATAAGATTATTTTCATTTATACTTCATTATTGCAATTTTGATACTGTTGTGGAATCATAATATAAATATCTACATTTTCCAATGGTCTTAGGTGACCCCTATGATAGGGTCATTTGACTCCCAAAGAATGATCTAGAGAGAGTGCAAGAATATCTTATGTTGTATAACCAAGCAAAAATCAATTCTATTCTCTCTAAGGGGGATATTTGAATTGCTGAAGAGTTATGAAGGAATAAACAGTGTCTGTCATATACCTAATAAGTAGAGAAAAATGCTCATGGTGGTGAATAGATAGATATAACCCCACAGGTCACAGTGAATTCATATACTGGGAAAATAATTGAAAGGAATAGTTGGATAATAAAGAAAAATATAATGTCAATACTGAAATTGCTAGAGAAATGAACAGACATAATATAGATAGATAGATCTTACCTGGTTTCCTAGAAACACATCTGATAACATGTGTTGGAGTTTGTGTGACAATACATTGTAAGGATGTGAGGAAAGGCAGGATTCAACAGATGGGGAAGTTCACCCAGTAAATACAGGGAACTTAGTCCACAGTGTGCAAGCACTACAGACAGGATGATTCTTCAGGGTTGTCTCTATCTGAAGCAAGAAGCCCGAATTTTCTGCACAGACTAGTTATTGGATATAGGCTGCCTATGAAGGTATGTAGTCTTTGTCATGGTACATCTGTCTGGCTGAAGGCAATTTCTAGAGAGCAAGGCAAGCTGGCAATATCTGCTTCCACTGTGAAGTACCCCCAGGAGCTGGGAAGAGGAATGCATCAGTATTGAAGGAGACTTAAGAGGCAGATATTGTTCAATACAGCATGCTCTATAATTATTCTTGTCTTTGCTCAGATTTACTTGCTTTCCATTTAAAATTTTCCCCCACTGGGATCAACTTCTCAGGATCCTGTATGGTACCTCCTTGGAGGAAATACTAGGAAATTTTAGAACAATGAATGCTATCTCTTTCCTTTGTAGCTGAGCTTGGAGTATAAATGAGGGAGATCACAAGGCCAGAGCTCTTGGCCACTATGACTTGGATCACAACTTTAATATATGACCACTTTCTGTCAAGATTAGGCAAAGAGTGATACCTACTTGTGTATCAGATTAATTTTTATTTGTACTCATATGAAATGGAAGAGAACCTTTTGTGAACATCAGGGCCATTACCCAAGTCATCCAGATGATCCATTGGTCATTTCCAACAGCACAATGAGTCCATTGTATGTTGGCATTCTAGCAAAATGAGTCTGAAGTTTTTTGATAGCCACATCCTGAAGGTCTGGAGGATGTTTACTCTGTCTCCTATCTGGGCATTTGGTGGTGTGGACAGCCTGGAAAAAGGAAGGTGACTACATTCAGGCTTAGCACCCCCATGGGTGGAGAGTTCTCAGCCACACTTGTACTGTACCTGAATCATCAAACATATGTTTGGAGGGAAGCTCATGATATTTGCTACTATGCATTCATATCAAGAACATGACTAGTGACTGAAGAGTGTAAAAGTCAATTCCAAATCATTGAGAATGAGTAGCAAAATAAGTCAAATGTCTCTGGGCTTCAGTCAAAGAAGTCAAGAGGCAGTTTACAACCCTAGCACCATAGGAAATTTAGTGAAGAAACTGTTGAGTAGGTTGTGTTTATACAGTTAGGAATATATTTGCAACTAAAACTAGGTT